CCCTCTCTTTCTCTTTTACAGGTCCCCCCCCCCCCCTCCCTCATACTCTCCGTCCGCCTCTTTTACGTCTGTGCCACGGGCGCATCGGAAGCACCTCTCGTTTGTTCCTACGTTCAAGATTCGGCTTCCTCCGCATTACGACGACCGGGCTTCTCGTTGCTTCCGATTCAAGGTATACGAATGCATCATATATTTGATATTAAATTATTAAATATTAGAAAGAATGATGTTTGACAAGCTAGTTCAAAGCGTTATTCTATGTTTTTTCCGATATTTAATTAACAATAAAGTTGAAGCAACATTTTCGACACGAGAACGTCCAAAGCGAACGCAGTCTTAACTGCCTGGGAAAACGGCGGGTAACGGATGCACCGTCGAACGATTGAAGGAAACCGTGGTATAGTTCCTCAGTGCGATACCGCCGATAAGCCGAGGAATGTACTGCGCTTCGACGAGACTCCCATGAGAATTGCTGCATAATTTTATAATTTTCGCACAACTTATATACAGAGTAAGAAAAAATTTGTATTTGGGGAATGTATTAAAAAGTACACAAATATAATATAATTGTTAAATTAACATTCACCTTGTCAACATGTATTAACGTATATTTATGTACTTCTTAATGTACGCTTCCCATATTAAAGCAGCACGAAATTTCAGCGGACCATTTCTAACATAGCATTTTTTTATTGTATAAGCTGCTCGTCAATAAGCGTTTATCGTTCACGTCAGCGGCTTGTGATATTCGTTCACCTTCGGGACTTGGTAATAAGCCGATTTGGCTCGAACATGCTGTTTCTCATCTTTATTATTAGTCATTAGCGACGAAACGTCGCGGATGCAAATCGCGAGTAGGTAAGTCCGTGCGTGCGAGCGCACTGCGAATACATATTTCGCGACGCACCTCAAGCCGACACATCGGACTCATTTGCAAACGGGCGTGCGATACGCAACTCGAAATACACGCTGACGTCGTTTATCCACGTAGGCAAGTACGGAATTAACAGTATCGCGATCATTTTGTCGAAAAAGGCGATAGTCCGACAAGAGAACGTCACATTTGTGATTTTCTCTCTCGAGGAACATTTGCATGAGTATTTCAGTCAAATCTCGACATTTCAGTCGTAGCAAAGAAGCAGCGACCATCTCTTGCGAATAGATCGCTCGATTTCCGATTGAATCGCTGCTCCGCTATCGTAGAATCTTCGGCTCGGCCAACCTAACCTATACCGACACATAGAATATACCAAGGCCACTGCCGTCAACGCGAGTCCGCCAACGCAACTCGCGCGAATGCCCGTCAGTCGATAAGCGAGATAATAAGTTACGATTGTTCGTTACATCGTTCGCGCTTCGCAGATTTGGTCAGATTTTCCGCGTTGAAAACGGTCGATAGCCGTGACATAGCATAGCCAGCCCAAATGGCGTCGCTCGGCCGAAGCATTCGCTCGATCCTAACCTCTAACTCTAACTCGCTCTCCTAACTTGATCGAACTCGCGGCACCATTTCTCATGGCAACACTCGTCGTTGTCTTATTTGTTAATGACAAAATGTCGCACGCAAAGTAGCGACGTCGACGAATCAACTGCCGCTTATCCAGAAGCTATAATCGTACGGAGAATCGCGCCAATCCACCCATTCAGGTAACAACGAATACCGTCGATTCGTTGTGCGAACTATAAAGCGATAGTGGACGAAATACGCACAGTCAACAAATTAAAGGTTGCGGCATTTCTTTTCCTTTTTTATGGACTTCGCGACGCACCTCATATCCAATAGGAGAATTTGTATCTTAATAATCCTCAGGAAATATATTTTCCTATTAGATAGATACGAGATGCTTTGCGGAATTCAACGAAAAGGAAAGTATTGAAATCTTTAATCTGCCAACCGTGTATGTGTGTCTACGAGCGAATAATCAGCCTAAAAGCTAAATCACACTAGCGATTGCCGATTGAATTGTGATTACGATTGACAACTACTTTTCAATCAATCAGAGCAAAGCAGCCACCGACTGAGATTAATGGCTGCCGTTTAGACAATATTCTGTTTTAATAATCTTCGATCCAATCAACAATCGTTAGTGTGATTTGGCCTTTAAGGCCATTTCATCTTGTCCACGAAAATAACCTCAGTGGAATAACTGACTTATCGGTTCAAGACAAAGTTTTATGCCTTAAGTCTTTATCTTAAGTGACGCACAATGTGACTGTCTTGTGTCTGGGGTCTTAAGCTCAAAAGCCATGCTATTCGTAATTGATGATAAACCGCTGTATAAAAAAATAAAAAAAATATATATCTTTTAAGTAGTCTACAATAGGCAGTGGGAGTATGTTTGTAAGAAGTAAAAATAAGAAATTGACCAATCATACGGAGAAAGGAAGTTTTGCTAGAACAGCAAATTGTTTGTTAACCCTTTCGGTATATTTGACGAGTGAGACTCGTCATCTGCTTACTTGGGCATAAAATGTATTACTTTTACATATTAATCCATATAGCGACAAATTAAATCCGTCCCATGAGCATAAAAATCTTAAAATAATTCGGTACTCAAAGGGTTAACCCTTTGCACTCCAGCCTAGTAATGCATAGAGGCTATTAGTTCCAAGTACATACCTATGATGTAGAAGAAAAATAGAGTCGTTTCAATAAAACAAAATTTTTATTTCTTAGCTATTTTATAACAAAACATATTCTAACTTATATTATAAAAGAAAAACATAAATTTTAGGACTTAAAATTTCTTAAAGTGCCGAGGCAGCAAAACAACCATGTCGCCGCTACGGCGACAGCGGAGTGCAAAGGGTTAATATAGCAAAACAAATTTGTTTAGACAACAAAAGAATTTATTAAGGGTATTAATTGCTCTTTGCTGGATATACGGACAGCGAAATAATTTGGTTATACCAATTAAATTTGGTTGTTGTCGCAACGACATATTTTGTTACAACAGCAGAATTATTTTCTCCGTATAATAAATTGTTTCAAATTTGAATGTAAGGAGAATAATCGACTATGATTGGTTAATTTTCTACTCTTACAAACATACTCCCACTGCTCATTGTAGACCACGTTTTAAACGCGGTTGTAAGGGCCCGTTCCAATATAGTAAGCCGTAATATAAGATCGTTAAGGCCTGTTCTACAATACGCCATATGCCAGAGTCGAATGTCGGAACGTAACCGATGGTCCAATGAAAGAATTTATTTATCAAAAATAAGTTCTCCACATTGGAGCATCGACTACATTGGCAATCGACAGCGACATACAACGTATTGTAGAACAGACCTAATTAATATAAAAAGCGAATATGAATATTTATTTCGCTTACGATTCTATATTAAGGCCTCCTATATCGAAACAAGTCCTTATAATTTTGCTTTACAAACTTATAGCCATATACTTTTACGGATATTGTAGACCAGCCTTAATAAGCTCTTACATCCACCGATCATGCATTAATTACTCAAACTACACCGACCGTCTGAGCAGTAGACGACGTAATTCGGCAATTCCAGTTGGAAAAATTCAGTTTTTGGATTAAAATTCAGTTTTCGAGTCGTAAAAAACGTCGTCGAAGCGAAATAACGCGGCAGGTATACCGCGAGCGCAGCTCTGTCGGTGCTTTGAATAATAACCGGCTGCGGACATTCGTCCTACATTGGTTTGCACGCAACGCGACCGAGTTTCTGTTTAATTATCGTATGTCGTCCCGACGTGGCGCACGTTAGTACGCTCGTCTCGTATCGCGGTGATCCACACCGTTCGTGCCGCACACCGTTTCTGCCGATTTCAGCGACGCGGATTCTCTCTCACCGTTGCGTTGACTCTTGTCCGACTGAATAACAGCTGAAGCGCTCTCCAATTTTTAGTGTATGTAAACGTATTAATGACACAACGTTCGAAGAGACAATTGAATGCTTTGTGTTGCGCAGGTGGCATAATTCGCCGATTGCCGAATCACGTTTCGCGTCCCTATACGCAGAGAAAAAGGTTCCTTTAGATTTTGTATTTCTATTTATTTGACTAAAATTTGTTTCATAGAAGCAACATATATGCGAAATATTATTTGTTTCAGTAAAAGTTTTATTGTCTCATTCAAGAAAACTCTATTATTTAACAGAAAGAGTGTTATTATTTGAAATAATATCTTTTAATCAAGTAAAATATTATTTGGTTGCAATAAATATGTAAAATGAAACAATTTCTTCATAAGTAAATTATCTTTCGTTTCAAACAATGTTTTTATTTAAGATAAAGATATATATTCGTTGAAAAGTCTAACAATCGTATTTATTAATCGAAACATTAGTGTCTTTGGAGTACACTAATGATGAAAATTGCTTGGATGCAATCAAATGTACCAAGTTCGAAAAAATCTTTTTCTCAGTGTACACAGAGAAAAATCAGTCGTACGAACTAAAATCTAGCGATGGCACAGAGTAAAAAATTTTCGGTTACAAATGGACCGCTCAAATTTTTATATTGCTTTAACAAGGCAAATATTAACAAAGTGAATACGTCCATTTAATATATTTGTGTACTTTTTAACATATTTACCCCAGATCGAATTAACACAAAAATTTAGGTAGACTGTAACATAAATTTTTTACTATGCAGCTGAAATAGTTAAAATCTTACAAGATGAATTTGCTGCAAATATATTGTTGACTGTAGCGCCCAAATTCGAACAGCCACACTGAGAAACCCATTTAATTGAGTCGACTAAATTTTTGTTCGACTATGAGCAGACAAATTTGTTGTTATAAGAACCAAGGTTTAGTTCTCTGAACCAAAGGTTTGGTTCTTTGAAACCTCTGAAACTTCAGAGAACCAAACTTTCGGATTAGACAACCAAACTTTGGTTGTTACAACCAAAAAATTTGTTCGCCCACAGTCAAACAAGAATTTAGTTGATTCAACTAAATGGGTTTCTCAGTGCAGTAAATTTAGCCGCTAACAACAACGACATTAGCTAGTCCCTAAGTTTAGTTCCTATGGCTATTGATTCTAATTCTTTCTCTGAGTGCAAGAGAGTCGGCCGGTAAGAGTCAACGAACGATTCTTCACTTTCACGTTCGTGAACGCGCACGCGAGAAAGAAGAAGAAGAAGAAGGTGAAGTCAGCTGCAAACGAAGCGCGTATTCCACGGCGATCGATATTATCGCGTAACGATGTTTTATTAATAACGCCGTCGTCGTCGACGACAACACAACGTCTGCTAATAAGATCTCCCCGCTGCGTTGCGATGAATCCGTTATTGACGAGCGATATATCGGCGGTGTATATATTTAAAACGGGAAATAATGTATCGATTGCGTTGCGATCGCGGAAGACCGACGATTGTTTTCACCAGTTTTCCTTCTCGAGGCGGACCATCTCTGAAACTGTTTAAGAACTGCGGAATCTTCGCGATTCTCGGGTCGCTTCCTCGGTTGTCCATTGGCGTCATCGATTACTGCGTCGTTTCTGATCGCCCCAGCGAGCAGCCGAAACGAACCTTGCGGCTTAATTCGCGTTCGGAATGTATAAATTTTCCCAAGGTGGCTCGTACAGTCCGTTACACGCGTAATCGGGGTCGCCTCATTTGCATGGGAACTCTAATTTCGAGTTCGGTGTTGCGTAATAATTGACGATGTCACGAGTCTACCGAAGAAGCGACTTATGTAGGCCACTACGTTGTGCGAGAGGTAAGAGACGTATCGATAACATATCACGGGACATGCTTCAGATCGTGGGTTAGCGAGTTGGAAAATCATAAAATATCCGTCTGTTGGAATTTTCAAGTAGCAAAACCAGCCCTAAGAGTGCGAACTCGCCAAGTCCGACCAAATATATAGCGTGAGTAGCGCGTCGATGAAGCAAGCAGTGTCGGTTAATCGAATTGTATAAAATGCTGGCGGTGTGTCCCCGAGGTGGCAGAAAGCTCCGAATGGCTGCCGTCGAACGTTGTTGCGAGTTCGCGTCGCAACCGTCTGAAATTGTCTCGCGTTTCATCGCGGCACTTTCGCCAATCTGACGATCCATCGACCCCACAGGAGTCGTCGGAGGTGTTCTCGTGCGACCGGAGACCGCGGACGGATCCACCACGATCTGAGGCGGCGACGAAGAGGGCCATCTCCTCCTCGGAGTGAATCTCCCGATCAATCGACAGGACGCGGAAAACATAACGCACGATCGGTGCGTAGACCAGGAATATAGGCGCAGAACGGCCAACTCCCGCTGGGGACGGGGAGCGGACGGAGGGAAAGAGATAGAAGGAGGGACGAACGCCGACGAAGATGCGCAAGCAAGGTAGGAGCGAGACGGCGATACAGAATCGTCGAAAGGAACACAACGCGTTCGCCGACGCCCGTCGACGCTCGGCGTCGCTCGTGCGATTCCGTAACAGCGAGGCGGGGTTTAGGCGGGGTCGATACGAGGCAACTTCGCGTTTCCGGCGTCCTCCGTCGTCGTCGTTGCTCTCTTAATCGCGCGGTAATCGAAACACCGTGGCGACTATCTTCGCCGCTCGGTTATCGCCGCCGTCGCATCGCCCTTCCCCCGCTGTTCCTCTCTTCATCCAACCTTCTCCTATCTCTCGCTCTCCAGGTAATCATCATTAACTCTATCTCTCTCCCCCCCCCTCCTTCCCCCTCCCTCTCTTTCTCGCTCCTACGAGCAACTCGGTCGTCGAAGCGCGGTAACGTTATATCGCGGATGGTCTCGCGCGAAAGTCGTGATAATAACAAGAAGGGAGGAGGGAGAGCAGGCGGGGTGGAAAGCCGAGAGGGGAAACTGAAAGTGCGCGAGCGCGGATAGTACGCGCGCACGTTCTCTCTCTCTCTCTCTCTCTCCTTGACGCGGTCCGTCGGTCGATCGACAGACGACGGCGTGCGACTAGAGGACGAAGGGCAAGCGAAACGACGACGAGAAGGAGAGCGCGCGCGACGCTACTACACGGTCACGACGACGATAGATCCGAGCGAGACGAGGTGTGCGCGCGCGCGCGCTGTCCAAGCGACTGCTACACTACTAGTGCGCGTCGCGACACACGTACGCAGGCATGTACGGCGGCGTGCGTGGTGTCGCCGCGTTGGCCATGAGTGCCACGGGGACGTGATATGCCGTGGTTATCAGCGCGCGGCTATTTATCCGGAAGAGGACTCGGCGGCGCTTGGTCGCGCACAACTAGGACGGCAAGGAGAAGGAGCGGGAGAACGACGACGGACGAGCGTTATCGGACGCCTCGGAGCCGGGGCGCCGTCGCACGCCGACAGACAGAGCGGCGTTGCCACCTCCTCGCGGCCGCGGTCGCGGCCACCGCTGCTGCTGCCGCCGCCTCCACCGCCACCGCCGCCGTCGCACCGTCGTTGCCACGTCCGCCGCTACGTTCCACCGCCGGGAACGACGACGACGGTGACGGTGACGACAAGGAAGGAGACGACCGTCTTCACGGCTTAGCTGCTGGTAAGCCGCCGCTGCTTGCTCGCTTGTTTTGCATGCATGCTGCACCCGACGGTCCGTGTGTGCGAGAGCGAGAATCGGTGCGATCCGCGACGCGCAGTGGGTATGATACGTGCTCGTGTCGGTGGTGCTGTTACGCGCTGCTGTGTAACGGTAGTAGGGGGGCCCGTGGTGGCCCGGTTAAATAAAAGGCACGGTCCCCCACCTGAGAGGCCACTCGACCTCGAACCTCGGCCGTCGCACTTCTGGATCTCGCCGAGTGATAAGGCGCCGCCGTCGTCGCCGCCTCGAATGCAGCCACGAGTTATTGGCTACCTCGCAGTCGATCGAGTCGGTATATTTCGGAGTAAGGAAATAGCATAAGGGAGAGAAAAAGAGAGAGGAGAGAGTGTGCGTGGGCGGGTGTGTATGTGTGTGCATGCGCGCGCTTGTGCGATACACCTCCCGTGGTTATCGCGAGTGATAATGCACGAACGTGGCGCGTTGCAATGATGGAGCGCCAAGCGCCGCTGACACATGTAGGGAAGATGGTACACCCCGCTGTGGGAATTGCGACCGATCGAAATGAGTGTCGAGGTGGAGGCGCTGGCTCACGGAAACGTAAACAAACTGCTTCAATCTTGCGCGATGCACGTGAGAAGAAAAATCACTACAGGTGGAACGCTTTCTTCTCTCTCTCTCTCTCTCTGCTATTTGAAATAATAGATACGTTTATCGTATTTTGCTTCACCCGGTATTTACGCTTAATTAAAGAAATGATAAGTTAAATTTTCAAGATATCCTGCAAACGTGGTGTTTCGTATTATGCACTTTGCACATTTTCTCTCTTTCTCTCTTTCTCGTTTTGTCATATCACGGAAAATATCATTATGCCTCCAATATTTGCGACAATGTCTGAATATCAAGGCCTCGTTTTAGTTTTACCTTTGGTCCCGTTCTTTTTAACTGAATCGACTGCACTAGTTCAAGAAATGTATATACGTTGAAACATGAGAACTTCGTACGCTCGTCTCGTACGTTTCAATATGTATGTACATTTCTTGAACTAGGCAGCCAGTTTAGCTAAAAAAACAGATCATTTGATATTGGGTCATTGGCGTCTCGTCGATCGCTACATAAGAATACGGGAGTAACACGTAAATAGAGTCGGCGTTTTACATAATTAAAAATTTGCTCCTGGACAAAGAGAGAGTGCCTTACAAACGTTCCATTTCATTGTGCATCCAATCGGGAGATATCGATTTAAGTTTTTGTAACGTCTGCAAACTGCTCCAATTCTCTCGTTATGACAGTAACGGTTACGTCGCTGATAATTATCCGAGAATTTCAGGTGTCAGACAGTTATAAGAGGAGGAAAGAGAAAAGAAGAAAGAGAGGTAAAATGCATATCTAAAGTAAAATTACAACTGAGAAGTTATGAAATATTAAATATGCGTTTCTCGTTTATTAGTATTACAATTTCGGAAGAAAACTATCTTTTTTCCCATTTTTCCGCGGATTTCTATCTCAAAGGTACAAAAACTCGTTTAGAAAAGTTCACGTGTGTTCGGTTAAAACCATGCCGTGTTTACTTTTTTCGTAAAATAAAAAAAAGTACGAAACCGAAAAAGTCCGTTGAAAATTTGGGAGAAAACAGTTTTTTTTCCGAAACTTCAAAATTATGCATTCTGTATTCTCGTTACTGAAGAAGAATCGGCACCGGTTTCTTCGTCCTCGATTTTTCTAAAACGTCCGCTCGCAATGTGACATTGCGCCAGCCAGATTCGCAACTTCCTCGTAAAAATGGACGCTTTCAGATAAGCTCGGTACACCGTCCATTTATAACCGTGATAATGTCAAACATAGAAAGTATTCGAACATAAAAATGATAAAGACCATTATTATTAGACTCGAGCGATGAATATTCGAACGGGACACGAGCGATATCGTTCCTTTTCGGACGCGTTTCTCCTATATCATATATGGCATGAGATAATTCTTTATTTATTTCCCGAATCTCGCTCACGTCTTCAAATTTTCGCGTCGTTACGAACGTCGTCGAATATTATCGAGTATGCTGAATAAGAAACGTTTCACGTAATATTTACGAAATGTCGGAAGGATCGCTTGTTACATATTAATCCCTTGCACTCTCAACAATATTTGAACCCGATGCATCAGCCGGCTCCAATCTTACTTATTTTTGTGCGGACTATAAGAATGAGGAATAAGCGCTCTTTCCAGATTTTGCAAGATTTCGTCATGAATTTTCCGGATATATGTCTCATTATATGTACAGTTACACATGCATCCAACTACACGATATTCTGAAAGTAAATAATCAAAGCAATGCCCGATAGTGCAAAGAGTTGAATGAATGCATTGAACCAAGCTCGTTTCACGCGGAAAATAATTCAAACGTGACGCAGGAGCGTCCCGCGACAGTCGGGGGGACTCTGATCGATATTCACGCTTAGATCGATGCTCCGAATCTCGAAGATGCCGATCGGTCGCTCTCGCCGCGCACCGGTCGCAAAATAGACGCGCGTTCTACGACGAGGCGGCGTGAGTCACCGCACGCTTCACTCGTTCGCGGGCGATTCGTTTTCGTCGGCCTTTCGCGATAGACAGGAGCGAACAGAAGATGTCGGAATCGACCCGAATTCGTTTAACCTCGCGGGCTCACGGACGGTTTGTTTATCCGGCGCGAGCGATGACACGTGACTCGATTTCCGACGAGTCACCGCATGCGAGGAACATTTTCTGTTCTTAGCGACCGTCCTCTCTCTCTTTCTAACCCAAGCGAGGCAAGGAGCAACAGAGGGGCAAAGAGAGGTGCTCGCCCCCTCCCCTCTCTCTCTCTCTCTCTCTCGCCTCTTCCTCGGGTCTCACGCGGCCGGCCTTGGCGGATCATTCACAGGCCGGAATCGCTTTCGCGCGGATTCGTACGTCGCGCCGTACCGCAGGCACAGGTGGTGGTCGACTTTCGTTTTCGAAGGTTCATTAACCCCCTCGCGCGTTCCCCGCGCGCCGTAGCAATCGGATGGCGCACGTTAGCGGTTTGCAGTTCCATCGAGAACTTGCGGCCAACTATGCTGCGCTAAACCAACTTTCGCGACGAACACACCGCGGCGGTTTGGAACTCGATTACGCCAGGCGACGACGACACCGGGACGCCGCACAGCCGCGATCTTTTGATATTTTTCAATCGGCTGCGATTGACACGAGCCTTTCTCCCCGCGGACGTGTAATCGGTTCCCCCGCGGCTTGTCGCGATTCAAGCCGGCTCCTGTACGATGTGACAATATTTATTTATTTATTTATTTCATTTCATTTCATTTTTGATAAAAAAGAAGTCCCTTTAGAGTACGTAAGTATCGATGTAAGGTATATTGCCTCCGTCCAGCAGAAGAAACAGCTTAATATAGAACCTAATTCTACAACCACAACTGGATCATTTTTTTATCTCGTCGTAGAATCTTCTTTTCCCCACTTCTTTGAACTTCCATCACATACTTTATCGTAAAACGATTAAACGATGAATCATAAAGTCCCAAAAAGTCCATGGATAATTACGAAATAAAGTGAGTCAAAAATAAAACCCGTGCATGATTCTAAGAAAGAAAAACATGCTGCAGTTCTGATGTTAATGGTCATTATGATTGATACGTTTTCCTGAACCTATCAGGAATCTAAAAGAATATTCTAGTCACCGACGATAATCACTAAGCGCTCGCTGAGCTTCTTCCTCCGCTGAACGCAGCCATTTTCACCTCTGCGATTATACATAGATAATTCCTAATACGCGATTCTTATTTTTAGCGCCGAACTGCATCACGCGAGCGTATCGTACGAAACTGTCCGTCGACTTCATATATTTCCCGTTTTCTAAAATTAACTAATTAACTCGTCTCTGCGCACGCGCGATCCCGAACGTGCGGTTTTCGACGGAACAGGTTCTGTTATTTTTCGAGCGACCCGCCGCTTTTTCTCTCCTCCGGCTGCGACAACTTTACGAGCACCCGCGATACTTCGCGGACCTGTCGTCGTCGCGCGAGAAAACCTGGCCGATGCCGAGCGGGGAGAACATGCACGCGTGCGCACACATATATACACACACACCCACTGAAGTGCAATCAATGTATCATCACTGGGAACCAGTCAATAATGATCATAGTTATAAGTATAGCACTGTGAATCGGTAAAATCTCGCTGCAAAAGTCTGTTAATAGCATCGGTTGACTCCATCGAAAAAAATCTAACTGCAGTGAAGAAAGATATTATTTATTACTTCTTTTTTTATTATCTCAATCTCATTTTTAAGACACTGTCACTGGATTTTGCCTGAAATATTCTTAATTATGGTTTAACTGCACGGAGGAAACCAGTTCTGTTAGAACAGCAAATTATTAATACAGCGACAGCAGAAGATTTTGTTTCGACAGCAGAAAAATTTGTTAAGAATATTAATTGATATTTGCTGAATGTATAAAGAGCAAAATACGCTAATTAACATTTTACTGCTGTCGCAACGACGTTTTGCTGCAAAATTATTTTTTCCATATAATAAATTTTTTTGCTGTTATTATGTTAACAAACAATTTGCTGTTTCAACAAAACTTGTTTTCTCTGTGTGATTTAGTTCATATTTTTCATATTTGAAAAACGCTTATTCTGTTGACCACTCGGATTCGAAACTACTAGAACTTGAAACCCATACGAACTATGCCAAGTGCGATATAAAGTTGAATATATACATGATATGCATATATATTTCTGCCACGGAATGCGTAACAACGATTTGCAGTGAATTTTTCACTGGCCGAAGTCAGTGAAACATTAGACAAAAGAGCTAAATGAAAGAATCTCCCCTAAAAATTAACCAATACTCACTGATTATCAGTAGAATATTGTTTCAATGATTCAATTACTGACGTTTTCACTGGCGGTAAAAAATTAATGTGTCAAATTTAACTTAATTCAGACGTCCCAAGCGGTTCACGCGAATTTTCGTGTTAATTTAATACAAGAATAAATATATTGTAAGGTTCTGTAAATATTATGTCAGAAATTAATGCAAAATTAACACAGACGAACACTGAAGTATAAAATATATTCTAACGCTCACACACGCTGAATATCGACATGAATGTTGAAATAACGTAAACGCAATATGTTAAATTAACGCACGGATATGTTAGAGATATTTAACATAGAAATTCGAATTCAAGGACCGGTTTCAACGCAAGTGCAAAATGTTGTTTTTACTGTGCCGATTCAGCTCAGAGGAGCGTATAAACGCACACACGTGTCTTTCCGCCGGCTCTGCAGCGGCGCACCGGCTGGGAGAGAGAGAGAGAGAGAGAGAGAGAGAGAGAGAGAGAGAGAGAGAGAGAGCGATAGACAAAGGGAGGCGGAGTGAGAGACAGAGAGCGAGTAGAGAAATCATCCCCTTTAAGAGATAGACCTTAAAGCACCGGCGGCACGCCGCGTTTCCCCTCGAATCTCGCGAGAGAGAGAGAGAGAGAGAGAGAGAGACACTCCTCCGCTTTCTCGCGTGCACGCACGCCGGCATTGTGCAGCGATGCGCGTGCGGAAAACGACCGTGCGTGCCGTCGTCGTGCTCGACGAGCCCGCCGCAGCGTCCTCGGCGCCGCTGCAACACAGTGGTGGCGACGATGCAACTCGCGAGCCTGCGCCGTTGCTTGCGCGCGCCTCGGCGGCCCGAATCATCCGCGGAGAAGTCCGCCGATACCGGAACTGTCCACGCGTGTGGGAAGCGAGCGGCACGGTAATGTGTCGAGACAGAGAGAGAAAGAGAGAAGGATGCGTCGACCGGCGGGACGACATCGAGGCATAAAAGAGAGCGTCGAACACCTGTTAATATCGGCCGCGCCCGCCGCGGTGGTGTTCCGCCGGTGACGGATTAACGATCAGTTGTTCGCACAGCTGTTTCAGAGCCCACCGCCAATAGCATGGAAGTCGCGGAGAGGGAGAAGCCGTTGGTGAAAGACTTGAACGAACATATCATGTGCCCGTTGTGCCGAGGATACCTCATAGACGCCACGACCCTCGCGGAATGTCTGCACTCCTGTTAGTATAACCGTCGTTCTCTATCAGCATGACCGTCGCGAGACGTTGCGTTAAGCCGGCCCGAGGATCTCGGTAGCCGCCTGCTTCGCTTATGAACTTATCTGAGAGAGTCGGAGCTGGCGGTACAATTTGTGTATTTATCGTGAGCGGTAAGACAGATGAATCGTGTGTTGCTTTTGGAATAAGTTCAATCTGTGTTTACACACAGATAAGATTGGTCGAGTTGGCGTGACGGTGAGAGCCGAACGCGGCTTTCTGGCCGAAGAGAACAGGATTTTCGGTTCTAAGAACCCCTGATTTGGTTCACCTGAGAACCAGATCATTCGGTTTTCTTCGACGAAAACGGCTCGTCCGGCTCGTTTCGTATCGTCGATTCAACCGATTCGTTTTTCTTCACGTAAAAGTTTCTTGGAACGCAAATGTTCTCCTAAGTTTAAAAAGGAACATTTTGCGACTCCACATTTCCTCTTGCGTTCCCCTCTCGATAAATACATGAACGAAACCCACCTCGAACCGGTCTCTCCAATCTCACGACGCGGTGAAAATTGCGGTAAGACGCGACGGAGAGAAAAGTTTGGTTGAAAATTAACGTGTCGATGAACGAATCGTTCCCGTTGGAGGAATTTCTGATTTTAACAACTTCATTTCGTCCGTAAGAATGTCGTTTCCGTTGAAAGAAACGGAATTTTTTTCTCCCGGTGCGCTACGTTCAAGTAATATTTACTTAATCCAAATAAAACAAACTACTCCAGCAATCCTCAGCGAATATTTACTTGAACGTAGCCATTTTTGTCAGTGCGGCAACAACGATTCCGCTACAGCGGCAAAGTGATTTCGTGCAGAAATTCCCTTCGACCTTCGACGGCTTGTTTACCGTCACGTTAATTCGGCCGATCTTTTTCCCCCATGCGTCCTGCGGAGATGACGCAAACCTGCCGCGCAGCGGATCGTATTCCACGCTTCGTGTCTCGGTCGTATGTTCGCGACGTCGCCGTCGTCCGTCAGTTTGCAGAGGTTGCATCGTCCGGCTGAGCAACGGCGCCCGCGTGTGCCCGGTTTGCGGCGTGAGGACCACGCCGCCGCTCCTGCCGGACACGCGTCTCCAACGGCTGGTGTACCTCGTGGTTCCCGGGCTCTTCCGCGCGGAGCTCCAACGGCGACGTCACTTTCTCGTGCTGAACCCGCTGTGCCCGCCGTTGCCGCCTCCCCTCGGCGCCATCAACCTCACCTTGGACGACCTCGTCAGTCTGAGCCTGGAGGAGCTGGACGAGACTGAATGGGAGATGTGCGAGGACGGGGTGTCGAGGAAGCGCAACGACGTCCCGTCGGCGTGGAACGAGGACGAGGACGTCGACCACGAGGCTCCGCAGAGCAGCGGCAAGACCCGATACCTCAAGTGCCCGGCGGCCGTCACGGTGCGTCATCTGGTGCGACTGCTGATGCTGAAGAGAGGGTGGGAGGAGACTAACTCGTCGGTCGTCAACGGCATCAGCAGGATAGAAATCCTCTACCATCAGCTCGGACCGCGTTCCAGCGGCGGAGACGAGATACACCTTCTCAGTCCCTTCTGGACCCTTCTGGACCTCGCATGCATATTCCACTGGAAGAGGGTGAGTTTAATGGCTTAACGTGTGTATGCGTCGCGATCGATCGCCCCGGCAGACATGTCAGTTACAGGGGTCCGCATTAACGATAAGGGTATATATTTACGCGTCCCTCCGGCTATTTTGCTGCTTTGCTTCGCGTTTTTTCTTTTTTCTTTTTGCGACTTTATTTTCACTCAGTCACCTGCCGTATCGTTGTAATATTTGCGTCGTATCGTTTAGGAGATCGCGCAAGTTTGATGAGTCCGACGAGTCGAAATAGTAGTAATGTTCGCTGACGCGTATTCGGAACACGTGAAACGGTTGAATACCGCGTGAAAATTTACACGTGGAAAATCTAGAATCACGCGGACCCTCTGATCGACGTTAACAGCCAGGGAGTCCTTGAGTATAAGTGAACGGGAGAGGAATGGAAGGTTGTAAGGGAAAAATCCGGGGTTGGCCTCAGGTCTATTGGCTGACTCGGAACCAATTGGTTCCGCGGGTGGTCTGCGTTAGTCTCCGACAAAATGACCATTTTGTGACGAGACCTTTTTTGCGAGAACCAGATGACGACTTGCGATTTCTCGCAAGGAGGGGGATTACGTATTGTCTGCTAGTTTTGTTGCGAAGGCCGCGTTTACACCGTGTGTAAAACCCGTGAACTGTACGTGTTTCCAGTGCAAAGGCAAGCTCGACGTTTAATTTGACACCCAATCGTCCCGGCGAGATCTAAGCGAGATTAGCTGCAATTATACAACCGTGCTCGCGCTTCGGCGATGCGCGCGTTATCAAAGACAGCGCGGCCTTCTGTCTGTTGCAGTTGGAGCCGATGAGGCTGGTCTACCGGGTGTTGCGGAAGGAAGAAACGCTCTCGATATCGGAGGTCCCCTCGAAATACGGGCCGAAGGACGGCCAGCCGGCGGCGATCGAGAACATACCGAGACCGCCGACGCCGCCGCCCAGCCCGAAGCCCAGTCGCAAGCCGGAAGTGGAAGCTCCTCTGACCTTGGAGAGCGACACGAAGCTACCTCAGGTCGACGAAGCTAAGAACGTCGACCGTGAGAAAGAGACGAAGAAGCCGCGCTGCGAGGTGACGCCGGTTATGCGAACCCCCGATCCACCCGCAAGTCTTCCAACGAGGAACCACCACCACCACTCGAGGGAGAGCTCGAGGAGCAAGGACATGGGCAGGATGGAGCACCTGAAGCGACGCAAGCGGCGCAAGCGGCGCAACAAGCGGGTGATCGCGGAGATTACGACTACGCCGCGCGAGGACCTGCTGAAGCTGAAGGTCAGACTAACGCCGTGCCCCCCGAGGATCACCTCGAGCAGCAGCAGCAGCAGCAGGAGCGAGAAGAGCGGCCGTTCGAAAGAGAAGCTGCTGCAGCTGCGAGCGGTGAGGCGCGAGAAGCTCAAGGCGATCACCAAGCAACACGCAAAGACGAAGCATCTTCCTCCGGCGGATTCTCCGCCTCTCTTAGATTACTTCCCGGTGGCGGATTCTCCGGTGGGCTGCGAGGAAACAAGTGCCAAGGACGAATGCACGATAGAGCCGGAGGAGACGATCGAGGACATCATCGACTCCATTCCGGACGAGGTGGTGCGCATCGCCCAGAGCGAGGACAACGCCGTCGTGGAGCGCGCCTTCGAGCCGGAAGCGAAGGCGAAGCAGGAAGCGGAGGAGCCGGAGGAGAGCAAGAGCGAGTCGCCGGAACGGACGAAGAGCGCGACGGAGGAGTCGCCGGTGCGAGCGAGGAGCGCGACGGAGGAGTCGCCGGAGCGAACGAAGGGGACGACGGAGTCGCCACCGGGAGGAACGAAGGGAGCGACGGAGTCGCCGGAAGCAACGAGGAAAGCGACGGACTCGCCGAAGAAGGACGAGGAGATCCTGCGCCGGCTGGGTCTGGTCGCGGTGAACGAGGCGATCGCCGAGCTGCGCGACAAGGCGAAGCAGCGCTGCCAGCACAGCGCCGAGAAGACGAACAACTTGGACCGCGAGAAGCTGGAGAAACAGCTGCGCGAGAGCAAGGCCAACCGCGTCCGGAGCCTCTTGGCGGAGAAGCAGATGCGCGACGCGCTCAAGAGCATCATGTCCAAGACGAACGAGGAACTTTCGTCGGTCAACAGGACACCGTCGCCCGTCCCTGCGGCCGCCGCCTCCACGACCGTTCGCGCGGCAACACCTCCGGCGGCGTCTCCGGCAGCGGCACCACCCGCGGTGGCTCCCGTGGTCACCTCTGCAGCCAGCTCCGCGAACAATCCTGCGCTCACGAGCACCCTGAAGAAGAAGGGCCCGCCGCCGTTGGCGCCGTTGAGCATCGGCAAGTCTTCCGGCTTCGCCGCGACCAGCACCGTCCAGCTGGTGTCCGCTTCTTCCAAGTACGAGACGCCGTTGGACCTCAGCAGCGGCAGCGGCACCGTCAACGACAACGCCCTCGATCTGTCCGCCACGCTGACCGCCAGCAGTAATCCGTCTCCCTCTTCGTCGTCCAAGTCCCCCACCGGGCCGAGGGCGCTCCCCGTGATAATCTCCGAAACCATAATCCGCAAGGCCAGGGACTCGGTGGAGCCGCGCAAAGGACAGGAGTCGGGCCTGAAGACTCTCTCGCAAGTTACCGTGTCGGGCAGCGGTCCGTCCGAGAAGGACCAGCCGAAGGAGCCGTCCGCGTTGCCCTCCACCGCCGCCGTCAACAAGGTCGCCCTGCGCATTCCTCAGCCGCACCACCGCATCTCCGGCTTCCGCGTCAAGGTCATCAAGCCGAACCTCAGCGTCCGGCATATCCCGAATCCCCAGGCCGTGGTCGCCTCCCAGTATCGCAATCAAAGGCCCAGTTACTACAACTCCGTCTCCCAGCAGCCACCGTAAATGTGTCTTTAATTTATTTTTCTCCCTCCCTCTCTCTCTCTCTCTCCTTCCTTCGCCCGCCGCACCCCGCCGACGTTTTATTTCCGTCCCGACGGGGACTCCTAATCTAAAGGCTGCCACACGTCGCATGCTCCCTCCTAGCTTCAACGACGCCGAACGCGCGCTCGCGATTACGTAATTAGGTCAGTCGGAAGACTCGGAGCGGAAGACACGCTGGCTCATTCGAGACTTCTCTCTCGATCTTGTTTATCGAATACGCGCGAAGGCTACCTTGACCCACGAGAGCTGTAAGTACCATCCTGACATCTTTCGTCGAATGCGAGAAAAGCCGTTACGAAAAGGCCTGTTTTTGCCGCGTTCGGAAAATGTAAAACACACATTGTTTCTTATAGTTTTTGAGACGTAGAATCCGATGGTGCTGGTTAAAATTATGCCGCTTAATGGGAATATATAAAAGAAATTCAGTTTAAAAAGTACGTGAGCGCGTGACTTTTTGAGGAATAAAACAATCGCTCTTTATGGTTGAGATTCTCGAGTGTTATTGTTTACAACGCTTCGTTAAGTCTAAGGGTGAGTTGTGGAGGTGATTTACTGAAAGCGCCAATGCCGTAGGTAAAAACGAAACGAAGTAACATTCGTTTGTTCAGGCGTCTGTAAGTCGGTTTGACCTCTACGCGTCTACTTACGGGTTAAATCAGGAAAACACGTAGCGTCGCAGACATTCGCGAGGAAAAAAAATATTGAACAAATATAAAAAATATAGAATATCTTATAAAAATGTTATATTTAATGATGAAAATATCAGATCCGCAAGTTCTCTAGTTATATTTAATGATGAAAATATCAGATCGGAAAGTTCTCAGACGTTTGTACGAACATGTTCGAGTCGGCTTTCCCCATCCAGCGCCTGAAAACTTTTCGTTGCATCTGATATATTTTTGCTATTAAAAATAGCATTATCATGCATAAAAATAGCATTTTCATAAGATATTCTATGTTTTTATATCAAATTATAACGTATCGCACCATGTGGCGTAACGACCTGTCTTGTATAAAAATAACTGCAACACTACGCGTTTTTCCGATATCAATTCAATTTTTCCCGTCATATGATGTAATTTTAATTAGCGCGGATGTTCATAGATTTCTCGCCTCAAAAACTACGTTGAAAAAAAAAAAGAAATTGAAATTTTACGATGCAAAATGTTTCTCGTGACATTTTCTTCGACATTTATTTATAGAATACGGTTGGAGAAAAGTTTGACTCTGATAACGGAATATATATTTTTGTGAAATATACCTACAAGTTTGCTTATTAATTGGTTTATTTGCTAGGAATAAAATTTTATTTTATTTTTATTTAATTTCATCTAAATAAACGTTTATTTCTGTGGAGAAAACCTCACATTTTATAAATAAATTTTTCCCTTTTCAGTATATTAAAAATGGTATCTATTTTACTTTGCCCGACTACTGAAGAACAGACCTTCTCGCAACATTCTCTTTTAAATGTTACTTTTTCGTACTTTTCCTCGCGCAAATCGATCGCACCTCGCGATTTTGACAAGAAGAAAAAGAAACGAAATACCGAGCAGAGAGAGAGAGAGAGAGAGAGAGAGAGAGAGAGAGAGAGAGAGAGAGAGAGAGAGAAGGACTTTTAAGTGCATTTGTAACACCGATGGTGGTGACGCGCACTCTCGTCGTCATAGTCGTCGTGATGTCACCTTCGACCCGATTACGTCACGGCGCGTTACGTTCCGCGCGCATCTTGCCCTTTGCGATCGGATAGAGAGGCCGATATTGCGTCGGATTATCGTTACCTAGGTACATCAAAACTGTACATGTCCGTAATATGTATATGTCTGGTCTCTGTCGTGGCGGTCTATACACTTACGGTTACCGCGGATCGATCTGATAAAACGGGTTTTCGCGAAGAATTCGCCACGTATTTCCAGTATTTGAGGGAGAGGAGTTAACTATGTACGTGTGGATCGAGAGGGAAAAAAAGAGAGAGAGAGAGAGATAGAATGAGCAAAAGAGAGATATAGATGGATAGAGAGAGAGAGAGAGAGGAGCAGAGAGTTAATAATCGGGATGGTAGTCGAATGAATGGATGGCTACGATAATGGAACAGGTGACAGGTAGTCGTCGGCGTCTATTGTTGCCACGTTAGGACCGTTTGAATGCTCGCAAGAGGTCCGAGTCCGATGCTCGAGTGCCTGAAGATTCAGCTTGACGATTATTTCGTTGATATTTATTGCGGATCGCGAGGCGGGGAGAGAGAAAGAGAGAGAGAGAGATCGAAGCATAGATACAGATCGCCGGCAAGTCCGCGAGTTCGCTTATTTCCTCGCAACGCGAGCGCGTTTGTTATGTACATATACATTTATGTATATTTTATTCAACTATTGTCGTACGTATACATGCGTAATTTTTGTTGAATGTATCGCTTGTTGTCGTTTCATTAAAATTGAACTGATGGAGGAACTCGCCGGGATTTTGCCGCGCGTATTCGCGCGACGTTACGCGTACCCGCGGTTGTTGAGAATTATTTCCGTTGTTTACAATACGTTGTTTTGTCCTCGGCGAGGGGGCGATGTTTCCGGAGCGTCCGCATTCGGCGAAAACACTCCAAGTGCATGAAATCAATTAGGAGACGCGGCCAGTCTCTCTCTCTCTCTTTTTGCTTCACGATCGCTCCAACCAACGACTCCAAAGATGTAAATAACGTAATTGAGTTTGATCATGTTACAAGGAAGGAGGGAGAGAGAGAAAGAGAGAAAACGAAGGGCTGTGCTGTGCGATTCACTTGAAGTTTTCAAGAAATCAGCTCGAGAACGCGCTAGTCGCGAGTGTCACACGGCCCGCGTCGGGCGACTTCCCTCCTCTCCTCGTCATCCTCCTCGTCATCCTCCTTGCGATTAGCAAAGTATACACATAACTCGTAGAGATGCCAAAGAACACTGAAGAGAACGTGTGCAATGTATTAGTGCAATTTAGTTGTCATTTAACGTAACATGTAATAATCGATCTGTCGCTCGGCGCCAACGCTGAGCCACGAATTCATCGTAAAAGGTAGGTAGTTAGGTTAGGTAGACGGTCGTGCGGACATTGCGTGCGGGTGTGTGTGTGCGTGTGTGTGTGCATGTGCGTGTGTGTGTGCACATGCGTGCGTGCGCGCGTGAATCGAGATCCCCCGCGGCGGAATTTCCTTTGTAGCGTGCAAACGTGCGGGAGCAGAATTACAGATGTTTTTNTTTTTTTTTTTTTTTTTTTTTTGAACGGAATTTATAAAGGGAGCGTGCGATCGATCAGACCGATCGCGCGCGACGTAACCGCGCATTTTGATACGCGACGAAGACCAGATGAAAGAGAACGCGAGGAAGATCTTCCGATTGGCAACTGTTATCGTGTAGAACCTAAACCGACTGCGATCGGTCGGGATATCGTAAGAAAAATTCGGAGATCTCGCGTCGTCTGAAAGAAGAAATCTTTCAGCGAGTGCCCGTTTGACCTTTCCGAAAGCTGGCGCGATTTTATACGTTTAATTCGGAGGCGAAAACAACTAGCACTCTCGATTTTATTAATTTTTTTTCTTACATGTGCGCTGAAAAAGAGCTTGATAAAGCTCACAGTTACGGTATAACCGAGTCGTTTAGCTGAAACTGTTTCACAAAATATTTGATAATCGTTAGCAAACTACTCTTCAATGTAGGATATCAAAAGTGCGGTCTCGTCTTTCGCCGCACACCGTTTCCTGGTGGAGACACGAACCCGCCGTCGTGTCTGACTTTCAATTTTTAAATTCCCCCGAGTCCGCGCTTTCTCGTAAGATTCTTCCCGAAGGAATTTCGAAGGGCGCGGGTCTCGCTTTCGGGATTTCTCGATTATTAAAACGCTGAGAGCACGAAAAACAAGTTGCGACGCTACTCGAGCGAACGGTCGTACGTCACAAAGAGATATTTCGACCGATCGAATCAGGACGGGGAGAGACGGAGTGATCTCGAGTGAGCGACGTAATTTATGAATCGCCGAGAAAGACAGAGAGGGAACAACTAGTCGCTAAAGACACGTCTCGAAGAGACGTCGTCGAAAATGCGCGGGAGAGCGTACTCGTGGAGTTCACGTGTCGTGTTCTCACGCGTGTAAAATGGAGCCGACGCGATCGCTCGGGCGACAGGTAACGGTGCGCGTTAGAAAGTGCGTTACTATGAAGCCGCACGCGCGTCCCGGACGGAAAAAATTGCGATCCGCGGAATAAAAATCGCGCGTTCGATAACAAGCCGCCCGGAGCGATCCTAATCTCTTCAGGGATGAATTTGTTCGTGTATTGCGGGAGAAGCCGATTTAATTTTCAAGTGACGCCAAAATACAATCTGTCTGTAAATCGTATGAGACTCCTCGTTGTGGAATCTCGTCATAAATATTTATACGTACGGTAACAATACATATTCATACAGTAATGTCCATTACATTTTGTCGACGACTCAGGCAACGTCTAAAAACGGAATGTGAGACATCTGAAAGAGACGTCTGAGAAAAATTAGTCTTGGTGACGCCTCAAAGAGACGTCTTGCGTCCCGATTTCGGACGTTATGTTGCCTGGGGATATACGAGTTGCGAGAGGAAATTTCGACGAATCCGAACGTACACGCGCAAATGCGTCGGTATCCCCGGAAAGGTTAAATTTCCTCGAACGACAGCCTCCTCGTCATACGTTACTTTTAAGTTTCCCGCGCAGAAATAACGATTTTCGACAGCAAAGACGTCCCGGTACGTCACACATATCGCAACGAGTTCGCGGCGAACGCTGAAAGGAAGGTGCGCTCGATTTAAAGGAAACTTGAAACCTCTGTAAGAAACCGGCCGCTACATGGCCGCTGGAACGAACTCGGCGGCGTACGAAGCCACTTTCGATTTCTGCATTAACAGTACCTTCCTAATACACGCGAGTCCGCGAGCGTTTCGTGGATGAAACTGCGTTGAGGCGCGAGCGCGCGCGCGGCCGAGTACCAAAACCGAGAGAGAGAGAGCGTGCGAGCGAGTGAGAGAGAAATAGAAAGAAAGAGAGAGAGAACATTAAATGTGTTTAGCGTATGTAATCCGTAGCAGAGAGTATATTGAAATAAGTGATACACACACAGTCTTAAATGCCAAATATATAATTTAAATCCAGCTAGTCACAGTCGGGATCTACAATTATTCCTGCCGATCTTGATAATGCGAGATAATGGAGGTGAGATGGAAGATAATATTTTTACGTATTCACGTATTCTCTCGAGATCACGGCGGCGGCGGTGCGAAATAAACGCGCGCGCGCGAAAAAACAAGGTGTATCGATCGCACGGGATTTATCCTCGGGCGGCAGCTACCGAATATAGAGGATTGGAAAGCGCACAATGTAACCGCGTAAGCGTAAAACGAATTACGCTCATTGCTCTGAAAGAGTTTAATCGCGCGGAGATGGAAAAATACGGAGAAAAACGGAATATCTGCTCTCTCTCTTCTCTCATGTGCGGTCGGATTTGATTTGCGAGAGAGAGAAAATGGACGAACGGTCGAAGGGAGGAGGAGGGGGGGAGGGAGAGAGAGAGAGAGAGCGAAGAAAGAATAACTGGACGTGAATAAATATGATGGAAGAGAAACGAAAGGAGAAACGGACACGAGATGTATAAATGAAAAAGAGATGGCGAAAGCGGAAAAAGGGAAAGCCGGTGGTATTGTCGTTAACAAACTCGATTTTCCCGTAATGAGGTAACGTCAATTAGTCGCCGCACACATTCGTCGTCGGTGTCGTCGGAGCGACGCGATGGCGCTCTTTCGATAATGCGAAGAGAGAGAGAGAGAGAGAGAGAGAGAGAGAGAGAAAGGAAAGGAACGAAATCAAAACTGCCACTTCGCGAGCGGAGGCACGGCCTCGCTTTCAATTCGCGTCGGATTCAGAGGGACCCAGAGATAGATATATGTCTCAGAAATATTTTTCTATCGCGTTTCTAAGTGATCGTGTCTCGTGCAATTCCCAAATTTCTAATTCCGCGAGAGCGACGCGCCGCGGAACACCGAGTCCTGAGTCGGGAAACGTGTATTTGCACGAAGTTGCCGCGAGAATCATGCCGAAGTAGCCGCTAGCACGCGCATGAAAGGTGGTACACGTCGCTTATACATTATTCACATACTAATCGTCAAACGTCACACAACTTGTATTTAATGAAAAACAAACAACAATCGAGAACAGAATATTTTCGACGTATCTCTGTGAGACCGTTATGTCACAAACGCGAGTGGCGGTACATACGCGAGGGAAGAAACAGAGGAAAAGAGGAGAAAAGTTCAGAG